CGAACCCATGACCGCTAGAGGCAGATGCCAACTAGCCAGCAGCTTAAGCCACTGAGCCATGGGGGACGTTGGCTGGGCTACATAATTTGCAAACTAGCTGGGATATAGCACCACCTATCTACCACTGTCACTGACAGTGGTTAGCCTGCAAGGTGATGACGTCCTCTCGCTAGACGCTAAATCCATAGCATTTGAAACTAGGAGAGGCTTTTTGATGTAGCCCAGCCAACGTCCCCCATGGCTCAGTGGCTTAAGCTGCTGGCTAGTTGGCATCTGCCTCTAGCGGTCATGGGTTCGATCCTCCTTAGAGGACCGAGGGAATGCGCGCCACTGACGAGCCCCAATAGGGCGAAACGCGTCTGGCGCTTTTCCGGACTAGGCTCTGCTATGTAGCTTGTGAACTGTTGGGATGAAAGCCTTATCAGATATATATATATATATATATATATATATATATATATATATTTATATATATCTTAACAGTCTGTTACCAGGCATTGTGCCATCAGAACCATGGCAGGAGAAAAATATAGAGCAATTATAGACACGAAATGCGATAAAAAATGGACAAGGATTTTTTAGTTTTACACATGCCATTTCGATGTCTTTTATTCTTGCTTCGTGAGTTTTTGATGTGCATTACTGGGGGATAAAATGTCAGAACAACATTGATGTCACTGATGTCCGTTGCGAACAGTGACATCCAATGTTTCCTACTACTGAGATTCAGCATCTCGTGGCCCCAAAATATCGATTCGACGTCTGCTTATTTTACGAGAGCCATGGAGCCTCATCGCACTAAGGCGACTATTTATTGGGATTCAGTCAATCAGAGCAGTCTCGGATCTAGCACTGAGGGCGATTCCAACACCAGCTTACCTAAATGCGGCAGACTCGGCGTCACCAGAGAGGCGGAGGCGGCTGCGTGGGTGGAGCGGTGACGCCAGCTGGTAGACCGAATTAGAGTCCTTGAGTCGCGTTTCACTCAGGCAACAGATAACAATTCCAAGGGTCCATAGCTTGCCTGCACGTCCAGCTTGCTGACCGATCTGCAATAATGTGCGTACGTTGAAGGCTACAAGTTTGAACTGCGTTCCGGGTTGCAAGAGCGAAGATGGGAAACTTCGGAACTGACAGCTCTCTGTTGAGCACTGTGTGGTTGAGTTGGCAGATGTCACGGGAACAGGTTCACCGGTGTTGGTGGGGTTGATCGCCATAGAGGAACCAGGTAAAAATGGGTGTGAATGGTACAAGGGAAGGGTAGGTAAAATGGTGGCGTGTGCTTGTGAAGTCGGCATAGTATCATGAGTGAATAGTATCGTAGCAGCAAGAGAGCGTGTGAATGGTTGTAGTTCGTCAGTAGGCAAGATACTATCCGGTTGCCTAGGCCGAGGTAGGTAGGTTGTCTTAGGGGACTATCGCCCCGAGCCTTTGTGGGTTTAACCCACAAGGCAGCAGAGCGCGATGAGGGATTCGCACCCGTTGGGAGCCGGTGACTGGACACTCAGTTCATACGCCTTTCGGATGACGATAAGCCATGCCAGGGGCCCAACACACCCGAAGTCAGAGACAAGATCCGATGCTCGGATTGCTTGACGATGTACAATGTCTCCAAAGGAGACAACGGGCAGTGACTTTATTTAGTGATGAGTCACATCCGCCACGTCGCAGTGTTGTTAAACGGACATTTGTGGCTTTTTATAGGGAGAAGGCTTGCCAGGCGAAAACCCACCACGTCCTGAAGCACTGCTGACGAACCATTCGCCGGAACGGGAAATTCCCGAACCGCCCAGCTGACACCACGAGAAAGTTGTTCGGCGAGCCAGCCTTTGCCTTATGACATATGGCTGACCTGCAGTGTGAACACGCTGCCGCAATTTTGTATGGGAATCACAATATTCGAACTGGACCGTGGGTCACGTGACTAGGCTTGCTGCCCTCACCGCCTGCCGCGCAACTGCACTGGATGCTTCGATGCTCGATAATGCAGTTAAAGGGAAATCATTTCGTTCCAGAATGCTATTTTGTGCCCATACACCGTTTACATCCAGAATGAATCCTTCGTTGGGCAAATAGCACTCCTATATGAGGGTGGTCCATGCGACGAAAGTCATAGCAATCGGAACCAGTGCGATAGCAAGCGATCTGCACCAGCAGTCGGAGCCTGCTATCTTATCTTAGTAGATCAGCCAACCTGTTGTGTTAATAACCATGCCAACTGTATACTTCTTTTAGGATCACGACGCCTTACTTCAAAGTGCAAATGAAACGCCAACTACTATGCACTTGCTGACGAGTTGCGTCACATGGCTGCAATCACAGGTCGACAAGAGGGTGTGACCACAATGCACTCTACATATTTCATCGGCAAACGCAGTGCTGCTTCACCGCGTCTGAACCGATACGAACGCACTGGATCGTTCGATACGGTTATTCGATCACTGGGATAGGCCACCTCCTGGCTTACTTCTCAGCCTACGCAGTTCGATAAGAATACTAACTATCCCCGCTCTGTCACACATGGAGCTAAACCAGAGCGAATAGGGAATAGATCTGACGATGTTATATCGCTTTCGTAATCACAAACGCAAATTACCGGGGTTTCGCGAAGATCAGACTGCTTCCACGTAGCAAAATAAATGTTCGCTCGACACGCTGCTCTGTTTATCTGCCGAATGTGCTGTGGAATCGGTTCACGGTCCATGCCAATTATCAGTTTCCCTCGAATGGAGAGTTGAATGAATTCCATCACCCACATTACTCTTCTTAAGCATGCCAACACTGGACCAGAATCGATAACCTAACTCGATCCAACGGTTACATAGGGGGAAGAGCTGGAATCGCTCTGTTCGGTTGACAGGATAAATAGCAAACGGACAACTCGAACACAGACTGGAAACGAGTGCATGAAGTCTATGTAATCGTACAATACGTGTCACAGCAAGAGGACAACGAAGTACAAGTGGGTCAAGTGTCCAACGTTCCCGCCGAACGCATAGATGAACGGTCGGCAGAATGGCGTTGCATGCCGCTCCTTACCGTGGCCATCAGGTCATTTGATCAAGCAGAAAACTGTCCGCTTGTTGGTTGGTCATTATTTTCGGTCGCACAGAACGCCCCTAAGGTTGATTATCGATGGACAGAGCCTATTAGTTGTTGCCGATTTCATCCACTTATCATATTCGCTGCACCTGTTATGTGGCGAGGATTTTACGAACAGGAAACTAGCTAGTTAGACTTGCCTTCCGGAGCAAACCGTCTAGAATTGGGTGACAGTGATAAACGATTAGACTTTTTCACCCTGTCATCGGAAATTGAATCCCATTTCGGACCAAGAATAGTGGATATCTTTTATTATTTGGTGACTGGCTAGGCAACAACTGCGTAGGCCCCAGACGCATGCACCACGTAAATCACGTTGTCGTGATACGTTCGGTCAAATGCTTGTAGGTTGGAGGCTGCTCAGCCCGTAACACTTTGAGAGACACACCGCACTTGTCGTTACGGAACGATGATTCGCTTTCGTGACCCCACTCGCGTTATACAATGCTGGTCGGGATTGTTTTGCTTTCAGCGTATCTGGCGCAAATCGGGTTTCTCTTTTTTCCTACCGGCGTGGAAAACCGTTATCAGCAGCAGCAACAATACAATCGTGTTTATATTAGCGCCTCGTTATCTTTCACTCATACATAAAGGAGGGTGTTTCTACTAATATACCTTAAAATGGGAAGTTAAGGCGAACCTGTTGTAAGGTCTGAACGCATTAGACGAAGCCTTAGCGCCAACACCATACGATCACAGGCAGCTTCTTGTCACATAAACCTGGGGTTAGACCGTTCCCTTGGAGCTTCCACTGTCCCACGTCATATTCACCTTTGCGAGAAATATAACTCGATATCATACGCACCTCTAACAAAGAACCCGGTTAGATCATGACCATGAATACTCCACTACCGCTAACTGTTCAACCCACTCATAAAGGGAACACGTGAGATGTGGCATAGACGTCCAGGTATATGGTCAACGATTTTAGTTCCTTCTCTCTCCTCTGAGCTTTGCACCACCCAGATCCTACGATAGACCTCTACCTCCTAGCTGTCGGATCCTACGGATCTTCACCGTCTATCTATGCTCCCATCTGCCTATCTGATGCTACTTCTGGGTTCATTTGAAGAACCAACCGAAAGAAACATAAAGATGACTAAATAACTTAATAAATATATGGTATATTTCTCGATGGTTCGGGACAGACCAACTACGAAATCTGATCATTCTGAACAACATAATCGGATGTTAGAGATTTTTGAGTTTTGCAACTTAGTTCCCGGAGGAGTTTTTAGTGGTTTTATTAATTAAACGCAACAACAATACAGAAAGTAAAGAGTAGGAGTAAATTTAGATTTCGTCAACAGTATAAGTCCAGTAATACGACTATCTATGGAACCGTCCCCTGGGGACTTGTTTTCATGTGCGGGGGGTAGTCCATCCAGAAGTTTCATCCTCACTTCCACTCCTCATCTGGCCATTTACGAATGTGGGGCTTAAGACCAGGCAAGCCGTGATCATGAAGACTCCTTTTTTCATGTCCGCTGTTATAAGCGATAGGCTGTCATCATGAAGACCTACAATGGATGTTCAGTCAGATCTTCCTTTTCCTATGTAGTATTCCAAGGAAATGAGCAGTTTGTTTTGTCACCTTGCAGCAATTATTATCAAGTAAAGCAACCGGGCGTTATCAATTAACTCCCGGTACGCCCCGGTATCGTTAAATACATTTAGTCTACGTACACCTCTATGCGATGTTTAACTCTTCATTCGTAACAACCTCCGCTCTAGCGCCAACGTCACAGCGTCGCGTAGCCCAGTGCTCTGTTGACGGCCATCAGTGTATTTTAAACCACATGCATGCATGCGACGGGTAGCCATCTGGATATCTCTTCCACCATTTCGCTCGTTGTTCCTTTCACTGCTTGTTCTTTCCCCCCTTCTTCTCCCTACAGCTCCAATGGCATCGCATAAAGAGTGGACGGGACGTGCAGCGCATACCGGTGGATCATCGTCACCAGTTGCTCGAAGACGGTCGAGTGTTACGAATCACCGAGGTGAATCAAGAGGAGGATGAGGCCGATTATCGTTGCACCGCTGTGCTTGGAGATCGCACAGCTAACATGACCGTGACTTTGAAAGTTTCACGTGAGTATCATTTGTACTACACATGCTCCACCCGTGGTACTTGTACTTTGCCAAAGTCTCCCCAATAAGAAATTGCGCTAGTTGCAACATGCTTCTTTCCGTAAATGGCCTGAGGTGCATGTGTTATCCGGCACTTTCTCGAGCAGTTCTGTGTGTCAAAGGAAGTGCTCGCGGATAATGGATCACAATACGATGTTAATGACTATATAACTTTACTCCGGCATCGTAGTGTACGTTGCCACTGAATTACACATTGCGATTCCTCAAGGATTCCAGCAGGAGCGACTCACGTGTTTGGTCAAGGAAACCCTACGAATCAGATCAGGAGGGTACAGAGAATACCATACATGACTTACCGATTTTATCCCCACGACCGATAATCACTCGGACCTCTGGCCACTACGTATGCAGTAAAACCTCCGAAGTTGACCACGTCTTTATCCTGAAAAGCTAAATTGATCGATTTTCTTCATTATTTGGACGCTCCCCATGTAAACCATATGAATTCAAACCTCTGTACCTTGACCACTTTGGTCTAGTCCTTTGAGTGGTCAGCTTACGGAGGTTTTACTATATGTGTTTGGAGGCAACCTACATTGCCAGCACCGAGACGGTCGCATGAATGTTACTTCAATTTCAACTGCTTAGACCCGTCGTCTAGGCCAGTTGATCGCTAGCATCCTTCACATTGCGGTATTTCGCGAGAGAGAGGGATGGTGTGCACGCTCTTGATAGCTCGTAAACCTTGTGTAAATTCTATTGGTCAATCTAGCCTGATATCCCTTACCGTCAGCCGGTGTATGGACTGGTTTTAAGCGTGGCATGGATCACGTTCCTACTGAGCTAGCCACATACGCCTACTTGCTATCATTTTGACGCAATAGAGTCCGGCACATGCAACCTTTTGCTTGATTAGACCACTGTCCGAGTTGTCTGCTGTCAATCGGATTCGTGGTCAGCGCTCACGGTAACCGAATTAAGTGTTTATGGTGGTTTTAGCTTCGACCATTCACATTGAGATAGCACGACCGTACCTCTAACCGAGGGCCCCGCGACTGTTCACTGAAGTCCTTTTGATCGTTCGACCAATTTGGTTTCGCGAATGACGTTTACATGTCGGATTGAAGCTTATTTGGCTCGCAATTGGTCTTGGGTTGGTTTAACTTTTGCTTCATCTACATGTGAGATCAGTTTCCTAAACAATCAAAGCAACTCTTTCTCGGACGAAACTTTCAATAAAATCGTTAGCACCAAAGCACCGCACGATTTAATTCCGGACAAATTACTCTGCATTTTGTCAAGTGCGTACTACAGAACTCGTGCTAGTAAATAGCATCATGAAGAATTAAGAAAGTTGAGATAGCCAATTCGGCAACATGGTTAGCGGCATCCGGTTTCGGATTTGCCTGTCACTGTGGCAAGCCACAGGACGCCTGCGCCTACAGAGGGACCATGGATGGCTTGCGCTGCACCACCCACAGCTCCAACCACATACCCCATATCCAGTGTAAACCCGAAGGAATAAGACCGGGAGGCATGCGGATGGGAACCAAGTTTCATCAACGGAGCCGGCCCACACTCCTTCACAGGCAAACACAAGCACGCTGTAGTTGGGAATCAAGTACACACAAGGCGGTGGCTGAACCGTAGTCCGCTCCACACTGAATGCATGGAACCACTCTTCGAGCCTAACACGGCCACAAGGACCGTGCACCCCGTCCCCTCCAGCAACGACCAACTGGCTCCTGGAGCCAGTATGGACGAGGTAGTGGGTAATAGACAGGTAGGCACCTAGTCAACATGCACATCAAGCGCAGCCACACCGGGAATGTCAAGCAACAACCGATCACTTGAAATGCCATTAACAAATAAAATATATCTGTTAAAGAATACGGCTATGCAGACAAAACTAAATTAGCATTTGAAGTAACTTGGTTAGCAACGAATCCGCGATAAGTACACAATGTCCAGAAGTCACTCAAATATGCTACAAACGCAAGAAAGTTAACGGAGATAGCCACAATTAGCGTAAGCAACATGGCCAGTTGATAGAAGGTTATTCAGGTAGGCAGAACAAACCAAATAAAGTGGAATGAGATTTATCCACATTAAAAAGACCGTTTAAGTGTAAGTTGATTTAGCGCAACTGCAGTGAAGAAACATCATGTATACAACATCAGCCTCAGCATGGAGCACAATGTCCCTGTGAGTCCCTGTGCCAAATTGTGCTTGGCGGAGGCTGGGAATATATGACTCCGGTTGTTCATGAGTATCAGCTGATGCGCGTCATGATCCATTCACACAATGAGTGCCTCGGAATAACCCTACAATCAATAATTTTCTGACCTTGTAAATTGGTACCTAATTGTGTGGACAAAGAGAGGTTTTTGGACAAATGGATTCCGAAATATTTGACAGTGAATGAAATAGGCATGGTTTTCTCCTTCAAAGTTAATCCAGGGGAGGCATCTAAAGTTACTCACAACTTACCAGAGCCGAGCAATGAAAATGTTACATCTGTACGTATCAAAGCCTTAAGGTTAAGGGACCTGGATGATGACCAACTCACGAGTTCGTCTAAACCACACTGAAGCATAGACATCTCAATGGAAAGAGCCCTGTACCCCACGACAACATTGTCGGTATATTTGCACCCAATCAATATTGTTGTTATGTGGAGACTTTCGACATATAAAGAGAATTAAAAGGGTGAGAGTATCACTTCCTGCAAAACGCCACAGTCAGCTCTTTTCCCGCTTAACTGAGTAAAGTGCGTACGATCAGTAAACTAGGCAAACAACAAGTTGCACACACTAGAGTGGACTCCGTTCAAATAAAGTGTGTGGAACAGCGCAGATCGGTCGACTGCCCATAGTATTTGAATAGTCATGAGAAAGAATCCGTGATGGCCTGCACTTTGTATCCAACACAGCGCTATTGAATGCACAAGTTACGAGGCAGCATCTGACTAAGAGCACTGGGGTCTAAAGCTAAGCTGATAGACATCATCAGCATTAGACATGGAAATTCGCGGGACTAGTAGCTTTTCGAGGAATTTCAAAAGCACCGAAGTACAACCAATTGGCCGGTGCTTCTGAGCTTACATTCTAGGAACTGGCATTCTTATTGCTGATCTCCGGATGTAGTGGATGACACCGGTCTTGAGACACTTGTTGTTGAAAATGTCAGTTAAGTGCAATGTAACGGAATCGGTGTACTACTTCAGAACCACAGGTGATAAAACATCAGGGCCATTAACTTTATTTGGTTACATTCTTTTGAGTCCCCTGTTGACATCACCTTGGTCAAATAGAGGACTGGGCCTGAGCTAATGAAAGATGATAATGAACAAGTGCTCGAAAGGAAAGGAGCTAAAGTCAGCATTATGTTTGTCCACATCCACTGTCTCGGTACAACTGATGGTACTTTTACCACCAGTGGCCCAAATACGCTTGAACCAACTACCACCAATCCGATTTGAATAAGTACTACCGGGACGTTGTCCACCCAACAAATTGTTTTAAAATTTCAGCAGAGCCGCGACACTAGTGGAGGTTGGAACCTTTCTGATACCAATGACAGCCGGAAACTTAGGTCTTAGTTCCTCTCACTGGGCCTAAAGTAAATGAAGACGGCGAAGCTGTACTTCCACAGCCTCCAACGGTTGTATGCAGAGCAGCTGGGCCGTTGACCTCAACCCGGACTTTACATAGTACGCCATTGGTACTCTGCATCAACGTTCCAGAATCGACGTCAAATTCCTTAAAAGGAATACCATTCAATGTACCGTTGGAACACCATATGTGCCATCCTAAATGTCGTAATTAAACCCACCAACTTGACACGGATCACCCGGCACCCAGACTCAGAGCACTACGGTGAACCGAGACTTCTCCGAGTTGTTTAGACTTCCACCGATGAAGTACAAGCTGTCCTGTTATTGATAACTCGCCTCCGTTATGGGACCTGTCCCATCCAAATCTTCCCGGATATTCCTTGGAGCGAGCGCAGACAGGCGAAGCACAGCTTGGAAGAATTCCGGAAGGAATCCGTTTCTAGGACCATCCTTGTACACAGTGTTCCCGAGGCTGGAGGTCTTGATGAGTGCGCAGGACCAGTGGCGATACATTCGAGAGACCATCTTTCTTGAAAACGTCATAGCGCTAATCTTGAGGCTGCGCAGTTCACCAAGTTACAAAGGATGTGGCATGAGGATTGTGAAATGGGTGCTTCAATCTGGACAAATGTCAACAAAGGTCTTGGAGTGCTCATAAGCGGGTCGCGGAAGTCTTCCTTCAGAGCTCCGGATCAAAGCAGCGTCCCTTAAGCAAACACACGAGAGCAGTCATTTAGTCGGACCATTTCCCGATAATAGTTCGGGTAACAACACTCGGATAGCCAACGAAACTGGTGCTCATACCTCATCCGTTACATACATAGAGAAATGCAAAGAGGTAATGACGGAATCGCTGAATCTGACACAAATGAGTTTGTCACCGTCCCCATTCAAAAAAAGCCAGTAGTTATGGATCTTTCACCGCTCGGCACAACATCACACTCAAAACACACACACCGAATCACTCCTGATGACAGTGAAACTTTCTTGCATGTACACCAACGCATAAAGTCTCCTGAACAAGCTTGCCGAACTGCGAGTACGTCAAGCGTCACATGTCTGAGACCTCATAATCCTTACGGAAACCTGGTTGCAAACAGAAATTACCAATGCCGAAGTTGCGATACATGGTATGTCCCTTCTTCAAAACGATCCTCCCGGCAAGGGTGGTGGAATGCTATTATACCACCGTAGTGATCCGCAGTGTGAACCGGTAGATGATTCGGAAACGCTGATCTTATACTCACTCTGGTGCAGTCTGAGACAGACGCAACGATACTTGCCTTGTGGTAGTCGTTTATTGTCCCCCAATATTCCACTCCAGAGACGGACACCCAGCTGACCTTAACTTTGGAGTGGGTTCTGCGATGACGATACAGCCGTT